AAGAATCAATAACCAACAACGGAGGAGACCAATTGTGGAGGCTGTGAAGACGTCCCTATCGTAGTGTGTGCGTCGTTTTGTGTGTCAATTAAATGGCGTGTGTTCAGTGAGAGTGCTTTTTGTGTCGCGCGTTCCAGGTATTTCGGAAGAGCCCGTCTTTTAAAAAAAAAAGAATCCCAAGGTATACACAGTAATGGGGAGAATGTATGTTGTATTAATGTTGCCTGATATTGTCGCTCCCCACTCAACTTCTTGTGCTAACATGTGTAAGTAGCCTCTAATCTAGAACTCTTATTACTAATTTAATTTATTAGAAGATCTAGTTTGTTTAACTGTTCGTTTGCGAGGAGGAAAAATCCCTCAAGGTCTGCCATTTTAACAATCAACGCACGCCGCGAAAGTTATTACCTTATTAGCTTAAGTAAATAATTGGCGTTATACCAGGTACACAATATTTGACTTGCTAATTAATCTAATTAAATCGCAGATTTGAATGACAAAATCGTAATGTGACTTATTGGCAAAGTAGAAAAACAAATTAGTTACCCAAGTACACTATACATTTTACTGCAAAGTTTAATAATTGCGAAATTTGCATACCGATTAATTATTCTCTCAGCCACTACATTAATTTATGATCTAACTTAATGGTCCCGAGAAGCGTTTGGCAATTTTTTATTCTAACGCGCCGAAAAAATTAAGTGCGATAATAACTAATTCCTAATTGGCAAGGCTGAATTGACTGATTAATATAAATTTCACGGTCTTTATGAATTCGTGAGTACCATAATTTATAATTGCTACAACGAAGACAGAGCCAATTAATTACAGAGTTCTAAATCCTCGTCCAAATTCAATACTCTAAAATTACTGTACCTCCAAAGTCTAGGCCAAAATTACGATTTTCTATCTAAGTATTTTTCACAATTTTCTTTATTCCGAGTCATTTGGAAAAGTGACGTAAATCTCTCTTCGAAGAAGACTATCGTAAAAGAAAGTCACTTTCAACTTTCGCGGTTTCATAACGATTATTCTCAGGTACTCTTTTGGGGCCGAACTCTCTTGTAAGTGCCTGAATTTATTGGCAGTCTCAAATTTGTCCCTTTGGTCGAATTTCAAGGAATTGGTATTCAGTGAGCCCATTTTCCCAGGGTAAACTCAGGTGAGGATTTGGGAGCCAAATTCTTTCAAGGGATAGATGAATATATACCTACTGTAGTATATATTATAGTATACATATTCCAAGGGGAGTGTTCTTAAGTATACTGGCAAGCTCAAGCTCAACTTTTCACTTGGGGGTATTCCAAAGCCCCCTTCCTCCATGAAAACCACCCCCGGTAGTACTTTATTCATCAAAACCGCTTTGTAGTTCAATGGTAGAGCGTTGGGCTGTAAAGCCGGAGGTCGAGTGTTCGAACCTGGGCTGAGGTAAGAGTTTTTCATCTGTGACAGAGATGGGAATTTCCTTAAAGCTACCTATTCTACGCACCCAAATTAATAAGAAAAAATGTTTTCCAGAGAAATCTTGGTGTAGTCGATTTTTGGTAAAAAAGGAAGGTTATACACTACCTTTTTTTGGGCCCCGAAAAGAAAATTGTCTCAGATCGATCCGGAAAAAAATTCTCTTATAGAATGTGGCCTGTAGAATCCATAATTTCAAACAGTTCCAAGATTGGGCTACTAGTTCAAAAGTTACAGCCCTTTGAATTTTTTTCTAGTCTATAACTTTTGATTGAGCAGTCTGATCGAAAAAGTACAAATTGATTTGGATTCTACGCACCCAAATTAATAAGAAAAAGTGTTTTCTCGAGAAATCTTGGTGTAGTCGATTTTTGGTAAAAAAGGAAGGTTATACACTGCCTTTTTTTGAGCTCCGAAAAAAAAATTGTCTCAGATCGACCCGGAAAAAAATTTTCTTATAGAATGTGGCCTGTAGAATCCATAATTTCAAACAGTTCCAAGATTAGACTACTAGATCAGAAGTTACAGTCCTTTGAATTTTTTTTCGAAATTGGTTTCTAGTCTATAACTTGATTGGGAAGTCTGATCGAAAAAGTACAAATTGATTTGGATTCTACGCACCCAAATTAATAAGAAAAAGTGGTTTCCCGAGAAATTTTGGTGTAGTCGATTTTTGGTAAAAAAGGAAGGTTATACACTGCCTTTTTTTGAGCCCCGAAAAAAAAATTGTCTCAAATCGCCCCTGAACAAAATTGTCTTATAAAATGTGACCTGTAGAATCCATAATTTCAAACAGTTCCAAGATTGAGCTACTAGTTCAAAAGTTACAGCTCTTTGAATTTTCTTTCGAAATTGATTTCTAGTCTATAACTTTTGATTGAGAGGTCTGATCGAAAAAGCACAAATTGATTTGGATTCTACGCACCCAAATTAATAAGAAAAAGTGTTTTCTCGAGAAATTTTGGTGTAGTCGATTTTTGGTAAAAAAGGAAGGTTATACACTGCCTTTTTTTGAGCTCGGAAAAAAAAATTGTCTCAGATCGACCCGGAAAAAAATTGTCTTATAGAATGTGGCCTGTAGAATCCATAATTTCAAACAGTTCCAAGATTAGACTACTAGATCAAAGTTACAGCCCTTTGAATTTTTTTTCGAAATTGGTTTCTAGTCTATAACTTGATTGGGAAGTCTGATCGAAAAAGTACAAATTGATTTGGATTCTACGCACCCAAATTAATAAGAAAAAGTGGTTTCCCGAGAAATTTTGGTGTAGTCGATTTTTGGTAAAAAAGGAAGGTTATACGCTGCCTTTTTTTGGACCCGAAAAAAAAATTGTCTCAAATCGCCCCTGAAAAAAATGGTCTTATAAAGTGTGACCTGTAGAATCCATAATTTCAAACAGTTCCAAGATTGAGCTACTAGTTCAAAAGTTACAGCCCTTTGAATTTTTTTTCGAAATTGGTTTCTAAGTCATGCAATCATTTTCGACGGTTGTACCCCGACATATTTTCCGTTGTAAGGTTGCCTTAAGCTTGAGCGCGTGTACTAGCTCATAGAAAATGAACCCAAAGGAAGATAGAATCCCTTTTAGGAACACCCTCCTCTCCCTAAGAATAATTATTTTCTTCGTGTCCAAGACAGCGTTGCGCCGGAAGACCTTGTCCCGTGTATGACATCCCTAATTGCTAACATAAATGTTCGGTTTTTAAAAATCGCGTTAACAAATCGACGCCGCCGACCAATTATTATGGAAATGCGTTTTCGCAAATTGGACTCATTAAAACAATGGAGTCCGGCAAGTCGAAACTTTCCGATTTAATTAAAACGAGCTTTCCGTTATCTGTTAACGCCGCAAATCTGGTAATTCCATTAAGAATTCCGCGCGCTCTTGGTGGAGATTTACAATCGAATTTGACGAAAGTGGGGAGGGGGGTATAACACTCCTTTACGTGTCGCAAATAAAACGGAAACGTGATGCTGTTATGAGAAGACGCTTATTTTTCCATAAGTGGCCAATTATCTGAGAGATTGATGTGGAGGATAGGCAAAGAATACTATGATCTGTTTCAAAATAAGTGAAAATCCATTATCTATGGAAATTAAAGGCAACGTGAGTGTGGACTAATTGATTTAGAGCGACATGAGCGTTGAATGTGCCTAATTGGGCATGAGTGGCAGTTTTTGATAATTTCATGTGCCATTGGCATTGTCCAGGGTTTATCGACTGACCAAATTAATCTTTGATTAAACTAATCCACCCCATAGGGGAAGAAGCGCCCCTTTACTCGGATACTTCATCCAAAATCCATGATGTTTTTAGGTCACGGCGTTATAAACTCATGTATAGACGATGCTAATTGCGCTGTATTTTTTCGGCTCTTAAGTGAATTGGGGAAAAGAAAATTTCCCGAGAGTGCGCGCTAGTTATAAATACAACATCGGGGTCGACTTTATTTAAAGGTTACAAACGTGAAAAGGTTACGAATATCGGCCAGTAGGGAACACCATTACCGATGAAGTAAACATGGCAATGGTGGGTACGTTTCCAATTCGTTAGCGGAGATTAAAATTTGCCTAGAAAATTTGGGGCGGAATTCTGAAGGAGCACGAAATTGAATGTGCGGTTATCCATAACTAATAAGTTTAGCCTAAGGCCTAAGGTGCTTACGAACTCCATTATTTTTAGAGGAGACGTGTCGAAGGATCGAAAATTAATCCCGACTTTTCGGCGATCTAAATTTTAGGTTAATTCGGGAACACTTGCATGAATAATAGAGACCGTTTTTACTCGAGGCCCGCGTTTATCGCGACGTAACGAACCTCTACGGCGGAGCGATGTTATTCCTTAGAGATTCCTA